TATATATATATATATATATATATATAATATGTTTATATATATACATATACAGATGTAGATTTAGTCTGTTCTAAATTGCTAAAGAAAATACACTTTTTGATAAACATTCATCGTTAGAGACCCGTAATTTTGTGCGATCGCAATAGAACTTTGAAATTTTTTTATTTGAAAAATTTTTTTCAGCAGACTAAATTGAGTGGAAAATAGGCAAATTAGAAAATTAGGTAAAAAACTGAAGTAAAAGCAAAAATTTAAAAAGTTGTGTTCAAAACATCGACATATTATAATTTTTAAAGAGGATACATGTTTTGAAAAAGCGTTTTTTATTTAATGCATTATAATGACAAGATGGTAGCTTAGTAGTATCACAGACTACAATGCCGCTAGTAAGGCAACCTACAAAAAAGCTTTGACTCTCCAACTTTTTAGCGTCTCTTCCAGTTGCAGCGTTCCACTTTCAATTGAATAATTATTTTACTGAAGCATACATAAGTTCTATTGTTCAATAATAAACATTCATTTCAAATTTTTTTGCTACTAAATAACTAAGAAGAAAATTTTTTTAGAAGAATTCATTTTACTGATCACTTCGATTTTCATTGTTTTGCTTCATCGTTGAACACTTTTGACCCGAATATTCACATTTGATGCTGGTTGCAGACAGGAGCTATTGTTTCACCTAATGCCTATTCACTGATGCTTTTTATAATACAGTAGAATTTGTTACACAGTTCTAATAAACAAGGTTTGTGTGGAAATTCTGTGAAAGCAAATACTATCAACACACCGCGCATGAACAAGGAAAGGGAATAAATCTGCTGTCGATCCTGTCATCTTATCCTTGCACGTTTGACCAAAATCTAGTAACTGAAAGTCTTTCTTTGATTTTTCCTTCACAAACTTTTTCCTCTCCATACGCGCTACACTGATAGTTTTCGCTTTTTCATGACTCCAACAGAAGCCTCTGTACATCAAAGACTGGTGAGATTTTTTATTGTATTATACCAAAAATTAATTGGAGGACAATCGTAGAAATCGGATGCAATTGTTCAAATGCAAATTGATATAAATTTTAACTGTAAATTCTTGTAACAATTACCTAATCATCATGGTAATTTCTCCCGAAAAAATTTTTTATTAATTATTTAGCAGCAAGAAAGTTTCAAATACATGTTCATTATTGAACAATAGAACTATAGTATGTTTCAGTAAAATAATTATTTGGTTAAAGGCGAAACGCTGAAAATGAAAGAGGCGCTTGAAAGTTGTGTCAGCAGAACTATTGTTGCAGTCTGCCTAACTAATCACATCGTAATCCGTGATACTCCTAGGATCATCTTGTCATTATAATGCGTTAAACAAGAAAGAGCTCTTTCAAAAGACATATTCTATTAAAAAACTTTGAAATGTCGCTTTTTTAGACACAACAGTTTGGATTTTTGCTCGTACTTCAGCTTTTTGCCTGATTTTCCACCGGTGTCTGTGTGCCAAGAAAATTTTTTAAATAAACAGGCGTTTTAAAAATCTATTGCGATCGTACAAAATTACAGATCTCTAAAGATGAGCATGTTTATCAAAAAATGCATTTTCTTTCGCACTTCAGAACAGACTAAATCTGTGACAGGTACACTTTTGAAATAGTTTGTTTTGATTTTAGCATTTGGTACTCAGTCTTGCTAATTCAGTAAAGTTTCAAAAAAACTAGAAGGATCAACGAGGAAAAATTGTACTATCTGACAAGAAATTGCTCGTTATGTAGTCAATTTCAATAAAAATTTAGTCAGTTTTTTATCTCATCAGAACATATGATTGTTGAATTGGTCTGATAAGGTGTACAGAAAAAGCTAATGGTAAATCACTGCAGAAAATTAAATTGTTCTTAAAAATTTACGCAGAATAGGTTGAGTCGTAAACCACCAACGAAGAAAAAAAATTTTTTATCAAAAATAAAAATATTTTATTGCTTTTGGTGATAAAAATAGTATGAGGCTTTATTATACATGACAGGTTGACTGAGAAAGTAGTAACTTATTTTTTCTCTGAGGAAATGTAGAAAGAAAGTGCGCATCAAAAAACGTTTTTTAAGTTTTACAGATAAGGCAAGAAGAAAAAGTCGATGCTTTTATTACTTGTCAATTGGACCATTAAATGATTGTTTGCAAATGAACCCACTAAAAATAAATATTTTCAACCTAAAAAGCAAAACGGTGCTCTATAAACTAAAAAAGCAATGAAAGACACAAAAACCAAAAACTTCTTGAAATTTAGTGAAAATTAAAAATTATTAAATTTTTTCTAGTAACTGCACAATAACCAATTTTAATTATAAATTAAAGTTAGTTTACTGAATCTTACTTATTGATAGTAGCATCTTCGACTAGAGGTGGAGCATGATGCATTTTCCGGTAATAGTTCATCGCCTCTACAGCCTAAATACTACTTTTTGAGTTTTAAAAGCAAAAACTTATTTTAAAAAAATAACTAATCTTTTAAAATTTCTTTTTAGCTATCTTTTTTCTCGTTAATGTCGTTGTTGTGTTATTCATCTAATAATTTTTTTATTTATTTGACCAGATAAAAAAAATTCGCTGGAAACCAAATATGGTTTGTACCTTTTTTTTACTGATATACTATTTAGGCTAAATATTGCGAAAATTATTGTTTATATACATTCTTCGTACTTTACCAGTCTCTTTCGCTTTCTTCTGGTTAACGCTTTGTTGAGTTTACTCTTAAAACTATGGCGTAACTCATGTTCGTGGCAAAATGTCCTTAGATAACAGATGGTAAATTTTTGAGAAACCATAACAATGCGATACCCTTCTAGTAAAACTAGAGCCCTCATTTTCAGCGCACTGATCTTGACTTTCTGCATCGCATTCTTTCGAAACGACATTTTCATCGTCGTCCTCTCCACCATTATCATTGAGAAATTGTTGAATTTTATTTTGCATTTCGCATGTAAATCCTTCAAGATTTCCAAGTTTGAAGCCTCCACTACTGTTCTCAATCATTTGGTTGAACTGTTGGTCTAAGTTTCCTGTCATGAAACGTCCATCCATATTACTCTAAAAGCTCCAAACTTTGAAAATGATCTTCATTTACTGCTTAGCTAATAAAATTTTTAAATTACAAATAAAATTAACTTTTTATTCTAAAATAAAATCGCACTTGACTGGTGATCACAACTTTGCGAGTCTCAGACGATGATGTTCTAGAACACTGAGAAAACTGTTGGGTAAAACGCTCCATTTGAACCTATAAGGCCCAACTTTAATAAGTTAACCCGTACTTTTGTTTTGAAAGCCTCTGACGATTACAGCAACAAAGAATAGAAAGTGCTCAAAAAAGCTTCTAACTTGAGGCTGAAAACCATCCCGGACCGTGAAAGAAAAAGGAAAGAAATAGGCTGTACCGTAAAACAGAAACCGTAACGATTACTTTTGTTGCCAATGAGTCTAGTGTTTATATATACCTATTGATTTTGATATATTAACGATAATACCACCATTGCGGTAAGCCGAAAACTGATAAATTGAAAAAACTTTTACATAAATAAGTTTTTTTAATCTTATCTTTCCTGATAAATTTTAAGCAACGTTTAATAATAATGCCACCACTAATACCGAAAAAAAATTTGTTTCCTTTGTCAATCAGCTATCAGCTAGCCAGCAAGTAAAAAAGTTTGTAAAGTTTCCAAAGAAAAAAAAACGGTTTGTCCTACTACGCCTTTGTTTTTTGAAAAACGCCATAAAAAGTGACTAAAAAATTAAAAAAGAGTTGGGAATTTATTTTAAAGTTACGAAGTACAGAGTAATAATAGAAAGATATGTTTGTTGACTGGCAGTGATACAGAAGAGCAGAATAGGCTTTTCATTACACGTAGTCTCTTACAAGGTAAGTTTTTTTTTAGAAAAATTTTTTTTACTTACCAACAAATTTTTATGGTTTATTATTCACTTACCTATTTACTGCTGTTTGAATAACAAAAACTTTTAAATACATAAAACATGCAAAAAAAACCAACATATAACAGAGCGTATTTAAAATATTTGATTGCTGATATAATTAGTCATAACAGAAAACTAATACAACAGAAAAGGAACAGTAGAAAAATAATAGGCAATGTGATATTTTAAGTTTGAAAGCTTATCAGGTCTTACGTTCTTAAAAAGAAGCAAAAATAATCACTAATTTCACTTACGTTAATTGAACCCAAAAAATGTTCAGGGCTACTCATTCCCCAAATATACAAATGTTGAACTAAAGTTGGGAAGCAATTGACTATGTTAATTGACTGACTAATTATCACACAAAAGCTTAAGTAGAATATCTTCAGCCTTTCCTAAAATTCACGACAGTACTGAAAAAGTTATAAAACGGTCATCTGTTCTTAGGTAAACAAAATTCTATAGTCTACATTCCAACAAGAAACATTTTAATAAAAAAACTTTTTGCAAATCTGAACCAATCAGTGACCAAAAAATAGATATACGGTTGCAAAAACAACAAATAAGGAAGAACGCACCAAATAAAAAATTAATTTTTGGTCCTACTTTTATGGAGCATTACCCATTATTCTCGAGAATACAGCAAAGCAAATTTGTTTAATCGTTTCTCGCATTGAGAAATTAAAAAAATTTTGTTTAGCAAACAGTATTCTGAACTCACTAATAACTGCGAGTTAAGAAAACCAATTAAATTCATGCTGATTGATCACACAACCTGGCTAAGAAACTGGAAAAGGATACCTCAGTATCATATAATAATTAGAGCCAGTCGGAGAAATCTTTTATTGGCTAAAAACATGCGCACAGAACTCATAAAGTTAACTGAATAAGCGATCTGTTAAGTGAATCACTAATCAGCAGAATCACATAATTTTTTCATACGTTTTTAATAGCGAGTAGAAAAAGTCAAATTTGTAGTTGACATAGCCTGATAAGTTCATAAAAGGTTATACCGTAAAAGTTCTGTTTAAATCTGTCACTATATGGCAATGAATTATTTGTTCCTGAGTCTTTTTTAGACTGTCTGCAATTTAAAAGAAAAGCTTGTCTTTATCATTAGCATTATTGACAATGTATCTGCTGCTTTAAAACCTTTATGAAAATTACAAACAGCAATATGCTAAATAAAAGAACTATCAAAAAAAAGACATTTTTTCTTATTTTGTCAAAATAGTTTACTGTAAAGATGCTTGTCAAAATCCCCACTTCTCCTGTTCTTTTCCCCTCTCGCTTCAGTGTCTTCTCTTTTGTCGCTTAAAGATGAAGAGACAGTAACAGCTAAAGATGAAGAGACAGTGACAGCTCTATAAAACTTAATCATTGATGTGCAAGCCTGCTTGATTATTGCGCAGTATCTGCAGTTCGAATTTTTACAAAAGAATTTTTTGCGTCAAACAAAACTGGTATGTGATGTCGAAACCGTTTCTAGTTTCAAAAGAAAAATGAAGAAAACAGAGACGCTAAACCGCCTGATTAAGAGACAAAGTTGGTTTGATTTTACAATCACCGAAATTGCATTTCTATCAGTTTTAAGAATTTAAAACTGACCGTGTCTTTTTCACCATTCGCTCACCTCAAATATGTTGCAAATGGCTCTTGTAGCCAACGCACAAAATACCTCTGCTCATCAAACAGTGAAATCTCCGTGTATTCTTCTGTAGAACTGCCTTTCAAGCCTTGATTTCAGCAGAAGGGCATTCGGTGAATACATTTGAGACTTTGACAAAAAGACGTTGCGTAAACACCTAATTTTTAGGGGTCCCCAACGTTGGAGAGTAGGAACGGCGGTTTGCGTACCTGTAGACTGTTAAAAGCATGTGGATGAAATGCAGCTTTGCTGTTGGAGAGGACTATTTTAGCAACTGACAGTAGAAGATATGAAATAATGTCAGCAGGGTATAAGTCCAGCAGCTGTTTCCATGGGCTTCTCATTGATTGCTGAGCAAACGAATGATGCCGCAGAGGAAAAAAATGCACTGTGGCGACCTGAGCAGTCTAAATGAGAACAAAACAAAGCTTTGCCACCAGGAAGAAGCTTACGACAGGTCCATACCAAGCTGCGCTGAACACGATTTAGCAGACAGCATTAATCACTTGAGTTTTTCAGTTCAGAAGTAAGTCTTGAACTGGCACTCAATTTTATTTGTTGCATTATAATATAAATTGTCATTTTAAACAATTTGGCTTTTAATGCTTATAATAAAATCATCCAGTAATACCAAAAACCAACCTTAAGCTGCCCACTAATTTCAACGTTCAAAACCTCGTTAAGATGACACTTTATTACAGATATAAAATCTCAAATCTCTTAAAACTTTACAGAAAAAAATTCATATAAAGGACTACGTAGTTAAAAAAAAGCTAAATAATACAAAGATTCTAAATCATAATAAGGCGTAGAAACACACGTACGAGAAATACTCTTGACTACAAATGTTTTTAACTTTAAAATTACTTGACATTGTTTGATAATGACGATACAGGCGTTTGTTTTTTACAGTGAAAAGTCTTACTGCGCAATCTTAATCAAAAACAACAATTTTCAAATTTTAGCATCTCTAATTTATTGTTTTAGACTTGTAGAAAACTCTAACTGCTGTCTTCTTCTAATATGTTCTTTCCAGTTCTCCTCTATTTTATTCAACTGAAAATTTGTTGACTACTTTACTTTCCAAATAGTACATCTGAGAGAGGAATTGACAGAATGGATTTTTCATTTTCAATAAATCACCACAGCACATGCATTTTTCTTTTTTCCCAAATTTGTCACTCTTCAAAATTTGCGCACACTAATTCCACTTCGCTTTCGCCAGTCTAGTAATAGTTAAGAGATTTATGACTGGGTTGGGTTAGTGTTAGGCATCTGTCATAGAATTACCTCTGTAACCAACAAAAAACTACCTGCACTTACTTTTCTGAAGGTTCTCTGCACTAAACGTTGGGCAGCAGCATGCTGTACCACAATTGTAATGCACGAGAACCTAACGACATAGAAAAAAAATTCCCCGAATGTTACTCGTAAAGCTCAATTCCAGTTTCATTGTGGTTAAATCAGGAAATAACGTAACAAAAAAAAATGTTATTGTTACCTGTTTTCTATACTGTTTGGTATTTTAAAGGCTTACGAAGAACCAGAAGAAAAGAAAGTACAAACCAGAAAAAAAAAAACGTTTGAATGATAAGCACAAATTTTCCTTCATTTTATATCCACTCGTCTCCGTTACTTCACACACTTCTTTTTCTTCTCTCTCATTCATGCAGCACGCCATCGGAAAGTAATGAATCACCGGCAAGATGCTTGAGACACGGTACAACATATTTTCACCATCTATTTCTGTTCCTTTTTCTTTTTCTTTTTTTTTCCTTTGTTGTTTTTCTTCCGTTTGATGTGTCACAAAATTTATCGATTTAGCTATATACGTTAATGTAAACAAATTTATGCAGGATGTAGTGGAGAGCAAAATTCCTTCACAAAGTTAATAACATTTTTTGATCCAGAGCTCTGTTTTTTAATTTTTTTTGCTTCCGCCCAAAAAATTTTAAAAAACCAATATGTTCTCTTAGTGCCGTGGCTACAGTAAGACATACTGTTTTATGCCTAGTACAATTCGTAAACTGCGTTTACTTAGAACACTGAAGAGAAAATACCTTATAAGCTGTCTTTGAAGCAAAACACTGGTACTCGTTTCTATTATCCTTTCAGAACTAGCAAACAGCTCTTCCACTGCTGCAACGACGTTTTAGATGTCGACTGTAAAACCATAAAGAATTTCTTGATAAAGGTCTGAAGCCATGCTTCTTCCGCTGTTAAAGTTGGAGTTTTGACCAACAATCGTAAGTCTAAGCCAACAGTCATAAGGTGCTTCAAATGCCGTTTTCCGCAGCTAGAATCAGACAGTAAAAAAGTGCTTACAAACTACAAGGAATTTTTTGTTTTGTTATTTTTTTTCTTTTGCAATGTAGAGACGAAGAAAAATGCAGTTACACTGAATTATAACAGAAAAGATATGTTTTGAGACACGATATACAAAGTACTCCTAATTAAAAGCCTTGGCTCTACGAATAGCATCAGTTTAAAAAAGGTTCAAGAGCAGCAACCGTAACTAATAAGAATCTTTAAATTGTTTAGGAAACAACTTTAGAAGATCACCGACCACAAGAACAAGGTGGGCTCAAACTATCACTAACCGTCACTGCAAAATGTTCGATACCCAAAAATAGTACAAAATTACGTAATAGCTG